AATACCTGAACTGGATTAGACCAGATAACAATCGGCGTGTTTTAACGTTCATATTTTCCACGCCCGAATTGATTGACCTTGAACTCTCCTCGAATTACGCGCGGAACTGCGCGCAAGTGTCGGCCATGATGAATATCGCCGACGATGGAGCGACTCCTCTAACAAAATGTTCACCTGTGCCGTAGTATCGTTTTTGAAGCTGGAAGCTTAAAAAAACGCAAATTTCTTTCGCAGATTGTGAAGTTATGAGTGCATTTCAGACTTTGCCGATGCGCTCATCGTGATTTTTGAGGCATTATCTATAAGAAACAACTCTTATTTTTGCTCTAGCAAAAGTTTGCAACAGGCCCATTATCAGTAGATTATGATGTTTATGAATATGGAAAATAATAAACTAATTTGAATCTCCCATAGCCTCTAAAGAAGTTGTTTACAAGACTCTTTTTCACCTCTTTGCCGACCCAGTCAAGAAACTTTTCAACGTGGCTCTATTTTCAACAGCTCCTCAGAGGTGGAGGAAATATAATTGGTTTTTAGCCACTTTCAGCCTATTTACTTATTGAAAAATTAAAAAAAGCAATATAAATTGAAATTAGCTTAATCTAATTTTAGAAAAATGCTGGTATTTGCCTGAAGAACCTCAACAACGCTTGGCTAGCCTCTCTTATCTCATCCTCCTTCAAATCCCATTTCTTTGGCTTTATTTTCTAACGCCACCGTGCTTTTCTGCTCTGCCGGTCTGAATTTGGATGTATTTATGCTAAAAGGAACTATTCTTAAATTAAGTAAATTAAATGGAATTATGTGCATGTGATTTGCGTGCAACAAGGTTCGTTTTTATTTTATTTATTTTTGCAAATTCCTTTTAAATTAAGCACGTCCTCTTTACCTCTATCCATCTTTACCCCCCATCTGGTCTCATGATCGTCTTTTTCCGCATTTAACTTACTGCACAATCTTGTCTTTTCTGCCTTATTTCGTTATCCTTTGTTATTTTTGATTTCACTACCACTTCTTGGTTTTTTTCGTTTTCCCTTAACTACGAAAGCAAACAAATAGACTTGAGTGAAACATTAAAATTGTATTTCTCATCAGAGCCCGAGAAAACCACGAAAAATTTGAAATTGTTCATTTTGGTTTTTGCCCACACAAAATAGGCAGTGAAAAACTTAAAGTGTCGAAATTGAGGCATGAACCTTGGTGGTGATAAGAAAATGTGTATCTGCGCACTCATGTGCCATCAAGTCGAAGTGATACTATTGAAGGCGCTCTGAGCAACTATTCCGCCACGGAGGTATTGCACAGTATCTGACGAAAATGAAGGCGCTCCACCGTACGTAAATTGACTGGGTATCGCTTACCACTGCGTGAAGTTCTACTGATCCTACGATATGCGGCTCATGCTCGATAAATTTTTATAAGGTAGCATTTTTTGACTAGGAACTTGAATTTCCACTTGATGTCTCAAAATTCGGAAATGCAAGATGGCAGACGTAGCCTAAATTGCTATCTCGGCATCTTTTCGACCGATTTTTGAGAAACTTTGTATCACGGAGTATTTATTGACATGAAACTCGGATTTTCAGTCAAAATTTCAAAATTCGAAAATCTGAAATGGAGAACGTGGCCTAAAATACTATCTTGGTGCCTCCGAAATTATGCAACTTCGCAATCAAGGTATCTATTATTTCTCTGTTTAGTTTCAAAATTGATGAATTTCCGCTAATTTTAACCTCAATCTTGGCGATTCAGCTCTCCAACTTCTTTAAGTTGAAACTGATTGTTCATTTATTCTTTTTTTTATTTCTTTATTCTTAATTATTTTCTTTTTTTTAATTTCTTTATTCCCTTAAGACTGAAAACCACACTGAGACACTTTAAGGAGCCGCTACAATTATTATCTCTGATAAAGCGGAAAAAAATAAGAAATCGAAGAAAAAAAGGGTTTTTTTTCACCAAACTATAGAAATTTGTGGTTATTTTACGAGGTAAGATTTGCAGGCGTTCTAAGTGGAGGGAGAAAATAATTTGGCGCAGTACCCGCGAGTTTCTGCTTTGCAAAATTATGAAGAATCCTCTAATGAGAGACCCAAAGACAGAAAAATGAATCAATGGCTCTTCTATCAGTTTAGGTCATTCAACAGCTCTAAGAGTTTTGAAACTTTCCCAATTAGCTGAATAGGACGATCTTGTTAATTTTTACGGAGTGGGTTTTGATTGAATATGCTTCAAATCTTAGATGGTACCTTTGTGGAAACGATACTTTATTCTGAAAATTCCAGGGGAAAAATTGAAAAGATTCAACCAAGCACTTTAAAGAGACCGAGTGGGGACATTCTTAAATCCTAATTATCTCTATAGATACAAGTTTCAAGATTTCCTGATAACAAAATAGGAATCAACCAAGGGGTCCAACGCAGTCCCTCTGCAAGCTCCCTCAAAAAACCTTGAAGATAAAAGCCCCATTGCGTCTTATCACACCAACAGGTTAGTGGCGTGGCGTGTTTTGCGAGATTTCGATCGATTTGCCGTTTAAACCTGTTGAAAAGGATCGATAAACAGGGTGTCCGCAACAGCACCTCAATAATCGATTCTTTACTATAGCTTCAAACAGAGAAATATCGAAAATCAACCGTTCACGCCTCGCCCCTGTAATCTGCCATTTAGACCTGTTAAAAAGGATCGATAATCAGGGTGTTCGCAAGGAACAAAGAAACAACTTTACAGGACTAAGGCCGGAAATAATAAAAAGAAACACATCAAATAAAATAAGAAACCCGGGACGTTTCGCAGGGATCATAACACCCGCATTTTCAACCGGCAAAACAAGAAAATTAAAAGAAGGACACTATGAGCCTCACCGTTGTTATTGTGAGACTGATCGTGCAACCAAAATAAACGAACAAGTGCAACTTGAAACAAAGCACATCGAAGCAGAGATTACTCAGGTGTTTTGTTTCAAGTTGCACCTGTTCGTTTATTTTGGTTGTACTGTCAGTCTCCTAACAACAACGGCGAGGCTCATAGTGTCCTTCTTTTAATTTTCTTGTTTTGCCGGTTGAAAATGCGGGTGTGATCCCTGCGAAACGTCCCGGGTTTCTTATTTTATTTTATGTGTTTCTTTTTATTATTTGCGGCCTTAGTCCCGTTTTAAGTTGTTTCTTTGTTTGTGTTTCGGGCCGATTAAGTTGTTTTTTCTATCATTTTTCGCAAGGAACACCTTGATAATCGATTCTTAACGTTAGCCTCAAAGGAGAAATATCGATAATCGCTCCAACAGGGAACTCTTACCTCCACCCCTTCGCCTAGCCGTGAGGAGCTGATCTCATGGCCATGAGGAGCCGTGGTGTTGGACGACTCATGACAGGAATTCCAATGTCCAGCCGTAGGAGGTGTGTGCAAGGGAAGGCGGGGTGGGAGAAGGGGGCGTGGCCGACGCTAAGACAAACAACACCTTTACCTTAGTCACCAGGCCGGAAAGAGGAAAGAGGAGGAAACTTGGTCCCATTAATAGTTACGATCCGAGGATTACGCGGATTTATAATTGGATTATGAGGGGATGTTTATGAAGAGCCCGGTAGCATATCGATCCTAAAGGGGCGGCAGGGGGTGAGAGCATTTGGGTTGCGGGTGGGATCGGGGGAAGGGGAGGGGTGTCGGTGACGCGAGGACGCGACGCAACTCTTGAGGAAATAGACGGTCACCCCGATTGCCTAACTATCAGGCGCTAGTCTGCCGTGCCAAGGAAAAACCAGTGGCGAGGCGAGAATGATCGACAGTCGATATTTCTATCCGAAGCTATGGTGAAGGATCGATTATCAAGGTGCTCGTAGAGAACACCCTATTTATCGATCCTTTTCCACCGCTTCAAATGGCAGATCAATCGATGTATCGCAAAGCTCGCCACGCCATTGGGGAAAACGTTGTATAAGCATCCGGATGTTGCCAAATTTCCTTTCAGAAAATATCTGCTCTTGAAGGAAGTTACGAATATTTTTGCTTGAATTTGTCAGATTTTGTAGATCGAATTTCGAATTAAATCCTCCGAAACATCAAGGAGAAATGGACCGCGTTAAACAGAAAGGAACCAAGCCACATCAGCTATTGCCAAATTTAATCGGGCAATTTAATTTTTTACATGAAATCAGTGGTGCGGATTTTCGTGCAAATTTCAGTGAAAATTCGCCATGGTACGAAGCAAATTCCTAAACATTTTCAAAGAAATCCGAACAAACGTTCCCCCGTAAAAAATTTAACTGCCCAGTTAAACTTGGCAATAGCTGATGTGGCTTGGTTCCTTTCTGTTAAACGCGGTCCAAATATTCCCAAATTTTCCTGAAAATTCGTTATTTTTCGGAGGAAATTCGACAACGCCTGATGGTTTGTACGGCGTTCTTCCTCAGCGCACGACAGAAGTACACTGTGGAAAAATAGGAGATTGTAACTTATGGATTTCTGTTTTTCAGTTTTTTAAGGCTACACTGAAAAAAGTTTATGTACTCACGCTGCATGTTTGCAAATTTTAGAGAATGATCATAGAGAATAAAAGGAGGTGTTTTGCGATTCGGGCATCTTGAACTTTTTTTGATGACGTAGGTCGTTACGGCGACTTTTTTCATCGATTTTCTTGGAAATGGTGTAGTTTATGGAAAAAATGCATTCTACATAAAGTGTTTGAGATTATATCATGAGCTGATTTAAGCAAAAAAAATCGGACGTTATGGTCCGTTTTTCATACTTCGAATTCCGGATTTTGCTGACCAGGTTGTACCGACCTACGTCACAGGGTTCACAATCCTCAAGATGCAGACACCTCCTTTTTTTTCTCTATGGAGAATGATGCCTCTCATATCCATAGCCAAGGCTTTTAATGACCGTAGGAGGTTTTGGCTATGCATTGCGATTGCGACTGGAAGTTCCCCATTGCTCTCTTAATAGAACAAATATTCTCACTGAACTTTAGATTTTGATTGATCTTAGCATGTTGCAAAATGTTCCAGATACCTACGCAACGTGAGCGTGGAGGGGGAACAAGGAAAGCCGAACGTCGAATTCACAGCCGATGGTGTCCTCAAAGCTGCCGAACTCAAAATCATGAACCTCCGTCCAGGAGTCAACAACAAACCCGATTGGGAAGAGGTAAGCTTATTTCTTTCATAAGCCAGCGGGCTGTTTATTTAAAGTGATAGACATAGGAAAAACGAAGCGATCCCATTAGTTGAAACTGGCGGTTCTCACGTACTAAGGGGTAAAATTGATAGACTAAATAAAGGATCTCCTGTGGACTGATTATTGAAATTAATAGACAAAGTGATAGACAAAGAAGACATAGGGAGTATGGAGCGATCCTATTGGTTGAAATGGGTGGTTCTTACAGACTAAGGGAGAAACTGATGGACTAACTATCGGGTCTCTCGTGGGTTACTGTGCGTTAGTCTATTATCTACCTGTTCTGTCCATCGCAACCACCCGCTTTCCACCAATGGGAGCCCTCCATAATACCTTTTGTCTTCTTTGTCTATAGCTTTGTCCATAAATTTCAATAATCGGCCTGCTGTCGGTTGGCGTTAGTTAGTCTATTACCAACCTCCTTTGTCCATTGCAACCACCCGCTTCTACCTTTAGGATCCCTGAAAACCCCTCGTGTCTTCTTTGTCCATATAGCAAAAGATTGATTTTGGCTGTCATTTATAAAAATGTAGTCATTAAACGAGGTATCAGCCATCAAATTTTTATGTACCTACGGATTTTTCCCATACGACTGAGAAACTCGATTGAGGTGAATCGTGTGTAGGTAAAAAAATCAGGCCAGCGGCCCGATTATTGAAACTATGTCAGCCCGATACGACAAGACATAGCCCTATCTTAACCATGCAATACATCGCAATTCGATGTCTTATCGGGCTACCTTAAACTTTCAATAATCGGCCCGCTGGTGTGTCAGCGCCACCACCGTCTTCACGCTTGATAGCGTTTATCAGGTGTGCATAGGCCCGATTTGAAGCTCGGATCAAGTTTCCTCAATCGAGTTTCTCGGTCATATGGGAAAATCCATACACAAATAAATGATTTCTGATATCTCATTTGAGGTCATTTGAAAACTGTATTATTTTGTCTATAAACTTCAATACTCGGCCCGCTGGTCTATAGGATATCTAATGAGGGTAGGTTTTGTCGACGTATCCTGCTCATTTCATTCGTGGGCTGAAAATAGCCTGAGGTATATGATAATTGCAATTTCATGTAGATGTCTATCCTTCGGTACAGCTCTGTGCTGTAGACTGAATTTTGCGTGTCAAATCATGCCACATGTTGTCGTTGCAGTTTACCGACACAGTCTGGACATTGTCACAGACACTGGAAAAAAAAAAACAAATTGGATCTGGAGTCCAGACTCTTGAAAGCATTGACAAGAAAAAATACTCTTGATTCAATCGGATTTTTGCTTGAATCAAAACGAAATCCGCTTAAACGAAGAGGCTTGGTCCTTGATTTAAGCTAGATTCTGATTGAATCAAGAGTACTTTTTCTTGTTTATGTTTTTAAGAGTCTGGACTCTAGATCCAATGTGTTCTTTTTTTCCAGTGTAACATGCAACTGCGTAGTGTTGCTCTCGCTTTATGAGTGCCAAAAAGAAGTTTGAGCGCCTTCAATGTTGGCGATATGCAACATAGGCGGCCGCTGAGCACGTTTAGTTGCATTCGTTGGGTTACCACTTCATCAAGTCACATCGACGAGGTTGTGTTGTTTAAATGCGTTGGCAATGTTTATAAGTCAGATCAACTGCGTTGAACAGAAAGGAGCCAAGCCACATCAGCTATTGCCAAATTTAATTGAGCAATTTAGTTTTTTACATAAAAACGGTTGTGGGGATTGCTGCGCAAATTGTAATGAATTTTCTGCAAGGTATAAAGCAAATTCCTTAAATATTTCCACGGGAATCCGCACAATCATTCTCTTGTAAAAAATTAAATTGCTCAGTTAAATTTGGTAATAGCTGATGTGGCTTGGTTCCTTTCTGCTGAACGCGGTCCAACGAACATTCATATGGAAGTGACTTCAATAAAAGAAGACAAATTAACCCGAATTCAAACTATAGTTACTATGTTACTATGTTACTACTATAGTTACTATGTGCAAACAAAGGAAAAAAGGATCATATAGCCAGGCTTTTACGAAAGATTTTTGGTAAATTACCAATTTAATTTGATCACCGTGGAAAAATTGTAGGAAATTTCGGAGAATTCACAATTGAATGGAGTATTTTAAAATATCTAATTTGTTATAAACATGTGTTGTATACCTGTACTGCCGTGCTAAGGAAGAACGCCATATGAACCTTCAGGCGTTGCCAAATTTTCTTTAATAACACTCGAATTTCCTAGTAAACTTATGAACATTTTTCTTCCAGTCAATCAGATAAATTTTTCTCGCAATTCCACCGAAAAGTCTTGAAAATTCGAAGGGAAAGCATTCATAACTTTCCTAAAAAATGAACAATTTATCCAGGGAAATTTCGCAACTCTTTCTTTCATTCCGTTTGTTCCTTGCCGAACCCGTAATTCCCTGGTCCATTCCAGATTATAATCTTTGCAATCGGTGAAAATGTAATCTTTATTCCCGTTTGTGCCGCTGTGAAGGCCTAAAATACGAAAACCAATCAGAAATGGATTCACATTGTCTTGACTCTCAGTATAAAGGGACTCTATGCGTAGGTAACGTAACTAGACGAGGGAATTTCGGATTATGATTGCACATTGTGGCAAATCCCGTGGAGATCCCCGGCTGCATTTTCCAGCTATACGTTCATGCACGTCACGCATTTTATCATATTCTAATTTTGAAGCCACAAAGCAAACACTTCCGAGAATGTAATAACGCGCTCACGCCATCGTGCATGTTTTACTTCGAGAGGCGATGTGCTGGCGAAATTGAGGCTGTTGTTTTATGGCCTCCCCGTTTAGGCGCAGAACAAGTATGCTCCACTGCACACTCGTGTAAACAATGTATTTTATGTAGCCAAAATTCACCTCATTTAAAGATGAGATAAAACACCCGCACTATCATAAAGGAGTCACTGACCTTTGAAGGATTTCTTGCTCCTAAAAGTGTTTCAGAGGCTGATCCAGCAATTTGGCGACACCGGATCCCCTCCATTTAAACCTTTGTGAAATAATCGATTCTTTGGAGCTTATGGCCCCGCCAAGAATCGATACATTTCCATACGTTTAAATGGAGAAAAACAATGTTGCCAATTTGCTGGATCCGCCGATGAAGTTGTTTTATATTCATTCCCTTAAAGGTTCCTGGGCTTTCGGCTTTTGAGATTTTCTGCGGTTAGTTTTAATTCTCCTTTTTTTAACTTTTAATTTTGCATTTTATACCCTTAAAACTCCTCATGGCAACCGGAAAAACTATTTTTTAATAGGAAGTTTTATCCTTTTCTCGTATTTTCATAGACTAAATTATTAATTAGATTCAGGGGAAGTTCTAACTTATATTGAATCTCCAAGATTGGCATTTTAGTTTAAACAATCGAATCTAGGTAGGCAGCTTGTCTTAGTTAGAATCTATATATTTAATGAATTTAAGTAGAGTATTAACAGCGTTGTTAACTTGCTGGAATCGCCACCGATGAAATGAAATATCTCTGCAGCCGTAGTGTTTCCCAGAGGGCAGTAATAACCAATGCTCAAAATTAGTCCGTCAGAATCGTGTTACTTGGCAACTATCAGCGAAAAAGCACGGGCATCCGCTTCATAGAAATGATGTTTACACAAACGAAGGCGGAATTGCATGATGTTTAATTAATGAAATTCGCAAAATTAAGCTCATAATGAGGATCAATAAAACGGATTCTTATCCTTAGAAGATTTTGCGAGAGGCCGGAAGGGATAAACTACGATTTTTTTTATTCGTAAAATTCTGAGCTTACGGTGAAAGCACGTGACCTCAGTCGAATTTTACACTAAATTTAAGTCGTGAAAAAACAGAGTTGCCAACTTGCAAGAATTGCCTCTGAATTTCGTGACTGTTATAGTCACCAAAATTGTTGATTTTTTTCTCTCTCTCTCTCTCTCTTTCATACATTTACAACTTTATTTACACGTTCCGCAGCATGTTATCAGCATATTATTCAATAAATGGCCTCTTTATTAAAAATGGACCAAGGAGTTCCAAATTGAAAGTAATCTAAATATTTCATGCCACACTGGAAAAAAAAACACATTGGATCTAGAGTCCAGGCTCTTGAAAAATTGACAAGAAAAATACTCTTGATTTAATCAGATTTTTGCTTGAATCAAAAGGAAATCCGCTCAAATTAAGAGGCTTGGTTCTTGATCGAAGCATAAATCCGATTGAATCAAGATTATTTTTTCTTGTCGATGTTTTTAAGAGTCTGGACTCTAGATCCAGTGTGGTTTTTTTTCCCAGTGCAATCATATAACTCATCCTGCAAAATGAGAATGCGCAACCAACTCCTTCGCTCGATTTTTCACGAGACGTATGACGGATAAACTTCTAGGCATTAGAGTCGACACCAGTGTCCGGGAACGGACGGCAAGTGATGAGGAGCCCGGCTGGAGATTACTCTTAGCGCCTGCCAGACAAGGAACTTGAGCCTTTTTCTAGAAGCTTAGAAAGGTCAATCCGTCAATATGCCAAACTTTAAAAGGGACGCAGCTATACAAAACCGATTTTCTTCGGAGCTGAACCTTAAGAGATGCAAGACTTTAAAAGAGAAATGAGAGTGTACGGAGAACAAAAGCAAATGCTTTTAGCGGTGTTTGCAACGTAAACATCCGCTTAAGCGTTTTCTATCATATTGGCTAGAAACGTTGACAGTCCCGCTGTCGTCTTCTGTCCACGCGGAAAATCTAGACTAATGGCTTCAGAATTTTTTCACTTGTAACCTGTTTTCATCTGCTGGATTAAACCAATCCCGTAAAACAGGAAGGGCACTTCAGAGAGGAGAAGAGAAATAAGTAGGTGGATACGTCGGGACGTTAGGCCCTCAATCGGCAATGTTAAGCACTGGAAAAAAAAAAACACATTGGATCTAGAGTCCAGACTCTTCAAAACATCGACAAGAAAAAATACTCTTGATTCAATCAGATTTAAGCTTAAATCAAGAACCA